GGGGTCCTTCCTGTCCATTTGCCTGCAGACTTTGCTGGGTGGGGGAGGGAGTGGTGAGGAGCAGAACCCCAGCATTTGCATCTCCAGGCTCCCCCTCCCCTCTTCCCAGTGCCCAGGAACACAACCCGACCCCCACAGGGCTGCATCTCCATCTGAGCAGCTTTTACATCTGAAAGAGACCTGGGAGATGACCTCAAAGGACCTACTTCCCCAGGCCCAGCATGAGGGAGCCTGGCCAAATGGAGGAAAGGTCAGGGCAGAGCCGCCAGTCCAGCATGGCCAGCATCTCTGGGTGTGTCATGCGCACACACAGGCGGTGAGAAGGCGGGCGGGCTGCAGGAGTGGCAGCTGCAGATCCGTCTCTACAGGAGGGAAGCTGCAGGTAGGAGGTGGTGTGGAGCTGGGACCCTGAAATTGGGCAGATCGCAGTTCATGTACAAACCTGGGGTGTAGGGAGGGAGCAAAGCCCTAACCTAAAATAAGCAATGAAAAATAGGGTTGGGGAATTTGTCACACTAGCCCAGGAAGCATGAGGCCTTGAGTTCAAATCCCAGAATCACCACCTTCCACCCACTTCCCAAACCGGAGGCTAGGGCTGAAGGCTGGCTGGCTGTGGAGGGAACAGAGGCCACAGGAGGGAAGCAGAGCAGAGGAGACATCTCTTCACTGAGCAGTAATCGTATCTCTAGTATCATCACTTTTGGTGATTTCTAAAGGAAATAGCTTGTAGGTGTGAAGGGCTGACCCCCACCCCATCACCCAGGTGCATGCAGCTGCCAGCAAAACCCCAAGGATGCATGGACACACAGGCGGGCGGGGCGATCCTACCTGAGCCTGGCCGCAAACATCCCGTGGGCCTAACCGGAAGTCCCGCCTCCCAGCCCTAAAGGCCTTTTCCATAAACTCTTTGCTCAGACCCACAAAAGCCTAACTCCAACCCCACCTCTTTGCACAACCTCCATGCCCGTGGGCAGCTTGCTTGCTCCTTGGTGTGCTCCAATAAACAGCCCTTACCTGTGAAGAGATCAAGTCTGGCCTGTTTTTTCTCCTCCATTTTCCAAACAACACCTGTTTTTTTCATTTTATTTATTTATTTATTTTTATTTTTTTGGTCAGTCATGGGGCTTGAACTCTGGGCCTGGGCTCTGTCCCTGCACTCTTCAGCTCAAGGCAAACACTCTACCGCTTGAGCCACAGTGCCACTTCTGGTTTTCGAGTGGTTTATTGGAGATAAGAGTCTCACGACTTTCCTGCTGGGGCTGTCTTTGAACCGTGATCCTAAGATCTCAGCCTCCTGAGTAGCTAGGATTACAGGCGTGAGCCACCAGCACCCGGCACATTTTATTTTTAAGTAGTTGTACAAAGGAGTTTCAACTCAACACGTTAGACAGCATGCTAGGGCTGGGGGGGGGGGGCGGGCATGACTCAAGTTGTAGAGCACTTGCTGGCAAGTAGGGGCCTCCGAGTTCAACCTCCAAGGACCCCTTAAAAAATCTGAATGGGGGTCGGGGGAGGTCATGGGGACAGGGGCAGGGGGTGGGGTGGGAAGGGGAAACAAAGGAGGAGGCAGCAATGCTTGATAAGAAACGTACTCATTACCTTGCCCATGTAACTGTAACCCCTCTGTACGGTATTTTCACAATTAAAAAAAAATCCGACTACATCAGGTGTTTGTTCTAAGTCAGGTCCACCTGTTCCCATTATACAGGCGAGAAGATGCATCTCACTAGCTGCCAGGATTTTCATTCTAGCAAGGAGAGACACTGTGGTGGGGCTGGTGGGCGGGAGGACTTCCCATCTCCCAAGGAAGTGGGCCTGGCTCACAACCAGCGCTTAGTCCATCAGAGGCTGACTCCCGACCCAGAGTAACCTACACAGGTACGAAAAGAACCCACTCCAAGCATGGTCTCGAGTGGAAAGGAAAATGTTTAATAACAAGCACCCCAGCTTGGAAACTCATGTTGGAACTTAATCCCCACTGAGAGGCAGGGCCGCTGGGGAGTAATTATGAAGTCATTATGAAGTCACAGGGCTCAGCCAGGGGACCAGCGTGGGACCACTATGACCCATACCTAGAGCAACTTGAAGTTAGGAGGTTTGGGCTGGTGGTTTCAGCCTGTGAGGGGCTGGCCCAGCACACGGCCGCCATGGGGAGCCCGAGGAACAGGCTGTCAGCCGCGTCGTGAACAGCAAGCAGAGCATGGCAGCAAGAGCCCAGGGACAGGAGCCCAGCCAGGCCTCACCTTCTACAGCTTCACCTCCAGCTAGCAGACCACCAAAAATGTGAACCCACCATCGGATGAATTCATTGATGAGGGCAGAGACCTCACAAATCCTCACCACCTTGGGGACCAAACCATCAGTACGTGAGCTTTTTGAGGGGTGCTTCACATACAAACCCTAACATCGCCCTTCCATGCTTAGGTCACGTGAGGATGTATGTAGCAAGAAATCCCTGGCCAGACACCAATAGCCAGGGTTGTGATGTCGGATCTCCCAGCCTCCAGAACTGAGAAAGGAAGTATGAAAGCAAGTATCAATCAAGTGATCAAATCTAAGATACATTAGAAAATAATAGGCAATTATGCTCACTCATTTTTGAGAGGAAGTGGTACTGAGGTGACGGGAAGATGAATGCGTTATACAAATGCATTTGTACAGCCAGGCTTTTGGACGAGGGAGTCATTTCACTGACTTGTAGGAAAAGCCGATCTCCTAACGCAGAGGTGGAGGAAGCTCTACCATTTCCCAAGATGGCGGCCACAGCCTAGGGCTGACCTTTGAGAGAAAGATGACTTCAACCTCAACCCCAAGGACTCGGCTGGAGAAACCACGAGGCTTTCTTCTGAGAGACACGCTTCCTTTTGCTGTGGCCGCGGCATTTAATATAATGTTAAACATCTATGACCTCCATTATATTGTGCAGGCACTCACGTTGAAATAGCGGATCCCATCTTTGTCAAAGAATGCTGAGAGTTGGGCTCCTTTGTGTATTTTAGTCAAGCTCTCTGGAATCAACTTTTCATCTGTAAAACTCAGAGAAGAAATATAACCTTGACTTGACATCTGCTAGGTTCTGTGCTCTGCCTCTATGAACTCATTTCCTCTTAACAGTTCTTTATGGCTAGTCTGATTACTGTTTCAGATGTTAAGTCCAAGGCCAGAAGGTTTGAATAATTTCCCTGAGGTTCAATAGCTAGCTAGTGGTAAAACCAAGCTCCTCCTCATGGCAATTGTGGCACACCCAACCCTCAGTGGCTTGTCTGACAGGGAGAAAAGGGGGCCTGTCAGCAAAGCCTGGCAAGTCTCCAAAACCCCACATGGTCGCTTACAGCTCTACTTGGTAGGAAAAGGTGCTCTGATCACACATACAAAGTAACCGGAATCACCAAATGGATTTTTACCACCAAGTAGGTAAGTTTTGAAGTTCCTACTTTCTTAATGATGGACCAATAAACTCTGCAACATTGTCAGTATTCTATAAACACCAGTAAGAAACAATATTGTCCAGTGCTTTGGTTAGACAAGAGAGAATTAACACTAGCATCTCTGTTTTTAGAGATGAAGACTTAGGACATTGTAGGATGTTATCTTTCCTATATACTCATAACCATTGGTCATGAGCCAGTAATTAGGATGAAAAAATAGACCTGTCTCATCGATACACGTTTGCTGAGTTTGTTTCCAGAACAGATTTCCTTTGGCACAGTACAAGTACTTGTACATTGTTTGAAATAGCTTTCGTCAAAACAACTTTTATGCTTAGGACAATAACCAGATGTTATTAAATTACATGTACATGTACAAAACAAACGTGCTTATGGAACCACTCATGGCCAACTCTTAGATAACAATAATTGTTCAAAATAATGCATTTGCCTCAGCATGCACATTGAAAAAAGAAGGCAAACAAAATCCTGATGGCAATGTCTGCGACACACCTCTCTACAGGAACTGGGATAAGCTAGCGACAGCTTATGAGGAGTCCATGTTTGAATAAAATGTTTTAAAGTCAGCCAATGGTGGGATATTTTACCTACATAGTATCAACTGAATGCTCCAAACATGTTTACCAATGGACTGATGTTTGTTCTAATGCTTGGGTGTGACAATCTGCAAGTAACTGTCAACTATACCGAATTGATATCACAGTACTTCAAGTCGGTCCGTCTTTAAATAAAACGTGTTACTCCTAATTTCTAAAAAGGCACACTCCTTGACAACACATGGAACTTCCCAGTCTTCAAAACTCAGCGTATTTTACTCTCTCCTTCATTTACACACGAAATACTGTGTTGGTAGGCATTTCTGTCTTCTCTGATGCGGGCTACCCGCCCAGAGCTGCTTGTGTCACTGCACCTTGGCAAGTTTTGTGTTGTTTCTATTGTCTGTTAGTGGTCAACCTAATGTCATTTGAACAACACAGCACTCCTCAAGACATTTATGGATAAGCCATGCTATATCATAAAGGAAAAAAGTTTCATGACGTGGCTCACGACTGTAAAATGCCATCCACTTGGCGTTGGAGACTGGGAAGACTGACGCCACGCTTGAGGACAGCCCAGGCAAAAGGTTAGTGAGACCTCATTTCAACAAAACCAACCAGGTGTGTGGTGGACACCTGTAATCCCAGGAGGAGGCTGGCCTGAACAAAACCACGAGACTCTATCTGAAAAAGAACAGCAGCAAAAAGGCCTGGGGTACCTGGCATGGGGCATACGAAACCCCAGCAGGCATTTGTAATTAGACAGGAACCTGCTTTGTGACCATCAAATGACAGGCACCCAGCACTTACTATTGGCTCTATGGCTTGTAAGTTATATAACCTTACATGACAGAACTTTTATACTGCTTTGCCAAAAATCTTGCCCAATACTTAAGAAAAAAGAATTATAATTTTGTAAGTTCAGTGTGCAGGGCTAACCCAGGAAGCCTATTTCATGTGACAGAAAACTGTTGGTGAATATTTGGACCGCAAAATGTTAAACAGCACAGGCATATAGAGAGTGAAGACATTTATTTTTTCGCTTTCATCTGAACACCCTTGTTTGAAAAACCAAAAAGCATGCGCATCGATGGCACTCTTATAAAGAAAAACAAAGTAATAAGCTGTAAATCAACAATACAAACAATAGGGTTTACAGGTGGGCACAGGACTTTTAATTTTAGAGAATAGTTAATTCTACTCAAAATCAACATGTTTAGGAGAAGCTTCTAATTTTTCAAACATTTTGATACAATTTTTCCAACTACCGTATTTTATCGACCCTCTGCTCAAAGGACTGAGGTACAGTCCTTGGAACCAGCGTGCTCAGCCTGCAGGCCACTTCGCCTGGCTAGAACACCCATTACAGTCCATGCAGCCCCCTGGTCAATATGCGACTTGGGAGCACTGCTGTGATGCTCAAACTCTACAGCTTACATCTACTCTGATGGAGTCAGAAATGAGCTGAGGGCTGCTAGCAAAATATACCTAAAACACAGTCTTGACTTTGTAGATCAAATAAATTATAGCCCATAGAACACTTCATGCCGCTTGACCTTGGCCTCCTTGCGCAATAAGGCTGTGTTCTGTGTGTGAATACATGTATATGAATGCTGAATACATCACTTACTAATGGACAGAAACCAATTCGTATCACACTTCTTGCTCAGCTGGCTTATTTTCTGATTTTGGAAAAGCAATGTGATACAGGCATAAGTTTCTCTCAATTCTTAAAAATCACAATTCAACAGGTATGTTTCATCTGGGTCACTAGAATTATGCAACCAAAGGCCTTAAGCAGCAGACCGAAATATCACCTTCAAAAAGGGCCAGCGGGCAGTGGTGTGTCCATTTTAACCTAAGGAAGGCGTGGATTCCACTTTAGAAAGACCTCCTTCGGTGGCAACTGTCCCACGACTGTGGGTGGTGGAGCTGGATGCCTTCCTGCAAGGGAACTCTCTCTGGAGGTGATACAGATTAGCTGTGTGGCTCCATTAACATTAGCAGCAAACAGACAAAGCCACGTCTGTATTTTACTGCCTTCAGCCTGAATTTCACAACCAAATCCAAATGCCTCTGCAAGAAGCCACAGGCGACAGGAGGAGCTCCACTTGAGCCAGGGCAAGAGTGCCAGCTCACCGTTTGTGCACTCGAGTACTGGGCAAATCCCTGAGCAGCACCACCGAAGGACACCCAAAGGGAAAGGCTTTGGACACAGTGGAAAGCCATACAGCAGCACAACAATGATTCCCAATCAAACATCCTGCTAAATCAAAGAGAAATAGCCAAAGGCACATGCTAAAATTGGTGCAGGCTCCCAGCACCTAGAACTGGAGACTCCAAGCCCAAGAAGGTTCACACTGATTAGTCTGATATAGAAAATAACAGGAAACCTTTATGTTTTTAAGTATTATGGCACTGATGCTGGGAGTGTAGCTTCAATCTTCAAAGGCTAGGCAATTTCAAGTTCTGCTACAATGAATCAGTCACAATTTTAAATTTCATTTTGTCTCTTCATACATTATTCTTTTGTAGAGTGGGTATGCACATTAGCAGTTTCAGTATTAGAAAGGTTCATTATTTTGCACATACAGCAAAACCAGCTAAATAACGCGGTATGGAGGACCATGCACAGAGTTGCTCCGTGACACTCCTTGCCCTTTTCCTACGCGTGGCTCAATACGTAAATACAACTTGTCACTGGCTGGCATCTGAACACTTTAGTGATGAGAGATTAGAGCTGACAAGTTGGAAAAAATGTAAAGTAACAAATATGGTGAAATAGGCTCCAATGAATGTTACAAAAACAGCCATGTGAATTATACAACAATAGGAAAATACATAATCCTAGTCATCTTTACAAGCTGACATTAGTTGGAGAGAGTGGAAAGAATAGCACAAATTCCACTAAGCTTTCCTGTCACCGCAGCTCCAGTGCTAAAGCTGGAAAACCTTTTCCCAAGATCAATTTCATATCAGCTTTAGTCACAGAGTCTATTTTACTTTTACTTGTTCAGGCAACAAGGCTTTATTTACACTTCTCATTTAATTCAGGAAACAATTGGATGTAATATGCAGCCTTCACTAGCAGACAAGATTGCCATCCCAGTGGGGGACAGCCATTGTCCGCGGTCTATGATTTAACCGCCACCCACAGGCAGCCGAGCACCGTCCCATAGATCCACGTGTTCACATACAGTTTCCTCCCAGCCTCGGTCATGAGCAAGCCAACAGTCAAACCACCCAAGAGCAGCACAGAGGGCAAAGTCTTCTTGAGACTTAGTTTGGAGTGAACACTTTTCCCAGGAAATTTGTTTCTTCTTGCTGGATCTGGTGAATCAAAGAATTCTATAAGCAACCTATAGCCAGAACAGAAAACAGAATTAATCTACTGGATACCTATTATGTGTTGGAGAAGTTACAGGTCCTTGGAAAATCAAGATAAGTAAGGAACAAGACATGGTGTAACTAGTTTACTATTATTACACATGAAATGCATTTCAGACACACGCTTAGAAGCCACTTGACCAGGCTGTTTTGGCTCTAAGCCTCTGACTGACAGCATTCTGAAGTGACCTGACTATCATGACCCCTCTGTTTCTTCTCTTTCTGTGTATACCATTCCACATACCAGCAGCCAATGAAGAGACCAGAAATTCTTTTTTTTTTTGGTCCGGTCGTGGGGCCTGAACTCTGTGCCTGGGCGCTGTCCCTCAGCTCTTCAGCTCAAGGCTAGTATTCTACCACTTAAGCCACAGTGCCACTTCTGGCTTTTTTTTTTCTTATGTGGTGCTGAGGAATCGAACCCAGGGCCTCGAGCATGCAAGGCAAGTGCTCTACCACTGAGCCACCTTCCCAGCCCCTAGACCAGAAATTCTTATCAGCTCCAAGGAGTTTGTCTGAAAGCCCTATACCCTTGGAATTATAACAGCAGGTCCAAGAAAGAAAAGAGCAGCGTGGCTAATTCCTTTCCCCATCTTTCTTCCAAGGCGTTAGATTCTAACGGTAGCTCATGCTGCAATGCCCTCGACATGAGACTACAAAGTTGCCTTACAGATTGTATTGCTAGTGGCTGCCAACACTCGACACGCACTCCTCCACACACAAAACAAAGGGGGCAGGTGAAATGGCGGGCTCTGCCTTCGTCCTACACACAAAGCAAAGGACGATCAAGCACATCTTCAGCCTTTCTTCTGAAATGAGGTTTAAATCAATACACATAGTCAAGTATCTCCCATAACTGAAATGGTCCTGAATAAGTTGCTTAATACATAATGGTGCCAATGAAACACAGCTATTTAATTCAAGTATTTCATTTTAAGCTTGCCATACTTTTAACAAGTTTCACCTGACTTAACCAGAGGCTAATCAGGAAATATTTTACTGCTACACAAAGAAAGGAAGAAACAGCAGTCTCCTGAGGAGAAGCATGCTAGAAAAATAAGGCATGGGGTGGGGGAGTAAAATTCTTAAAAATGATTTTGGAAGTAGTTTTTAGTTCTTTTTTAAAAAAGAAATTTAGTTCTTTTTTAAACATTGAACTAAGTAGTTCAATGTGTGTAAATGCTGTATTCCATACTTAATGGCTCCATCTTTTCAAAAGATAAAAAGCATAAATGTTTAGAACATATCTATCATAAAAAAAAAGGATATGCTTCAGAAAGTACAGGACTTTCACTTATAGCAAAACGGAGGTTTTCAGCTAAGAAAATAATTTCTAAATGTTATATGTAAATCTAAGACTCAGTTTTTTGTTTTTGCCAGTCCTGGGTCTTGAACTCAGGGCCTGGGCACTGTTCCTGAGCTGCTTTTGCTCAAGGCTAGCATTCTACCATTTGAGCCACAGTGCCACTTTCAGCTTTTTCTGCTTATGTGGTACTGAGGAATCAACCCCAGGGTTTCATGCATGCAAGGAAGCCCTGTACCACTGAGCCATATCCCAGCCCAAGACTCAGTTTTCAATCTCTTTCATCCCCCATTTTTTTTTTTTTTTTTGGCATTAAATCAAAGATGCTGTCACCTGCTGCTTCGGGGTTCTCGCTGTACTAACAGATATCCAAACACATATGGTTTAAAGATAGGTGACTGCTGGCTGCTAAGTGCTATGAGCATGGACCAAAGTACAGTCAATGCCAGAGACTGTCTCAGCCCCAAATGCCAACAACAGAAAGGAGACTTTTTCATTGTAAAAATGTCAACCTTCACCTTCCAACAATACTGATGTCATACCTATCTGCACATCAGACACAACCTTGCAGTCCACAGGGCAGTTGGCAGGGTAGCTGGTTTTCTACCTGTTCTGAAAACAGAGATTGGGGCATCTTTCATCTGAAAGGGTATTTGTGCATCTTCCCAGGTAGTACATCTAGGAAGTCTAGACTGACGCTCCGTAAGTTCTTTCACAGTGATTTGTAAAAGGAAGGTTTAAAACAGAAACATATGCATGGAATAAGCTTTCACCTGAGTTTATAAAAAGCACTCTCAAGACAACAGGTGCTGTTTTGGCGCAGTGAAACTTGATTGAACCGAAATTTGCAGACTAGGACTGTCTTTACTCACTTGTCTTTGATCTCAAACCGTTCATGAAGCCATCTTCTCATATATGCTTGCTCTTCTGGAACATCTTTCTTGTCGATACGATCAACGTGAATATGAATTTTTACGCATTCTTTACAGAGAAATTCTAATAAAGACAAAGTTCGTATTTTTCTGTTTTAAAACTCATCGTTATATATAGTGAACATAGTGAAAGTAAGACATCAGGCAAAGATGTTTGAAAAATAAACATAAATTTGTGAGTAAATGTTATAATTTCCATGTCTACTATAATTATAAAAGTTATTAAGTAAAATCAATAGCACCACATGTGGAAGTTGGAGCTTAGCCAGAAGTCCTAGCCACCCCTCTAGAAAGGATACCCAGATGCCAACTCCATCAGCCGTAGCGTCCCACTCAGAACCCCACCCTGACTGAGCGCTGCCCCTGCCACACAGGGTCGCCACGATGCCCCAGCAGACGGGCGCTCTCAGGGCCGTGTCCGTGTGGTCCCACTGGGCCTCTGGAGACAGCAAGTAACTGCGCATTGGGAATACTCCGTAACTGTGTATTGGCCTGATCCTCTGCCCCGACAAACCTCGGAGCAGTTACCTTTTCTCTAGGACTTGACCTCTCATTTCTAATCACTGGTAACCCTTACTTTCCTGGTCCTTACCAGATTCTAACACGTTACACTGTTAAAGCTGGGCATGGTAGTGCCTGGGAGGGAGTCTAAGGCAGGAAGTTCAAGGTCAACTTGGTAAGCCTGCCTTAAAAAACAAAACAACTAAGAAGGCAGGGGAGAGGGGGACAGACTGAAATTCTTACTTTGGAATAGCTATGAGATTGTAAATAACTGTCATTCATTTATAAAGCATGAGGCTAGTTTTTAATGTAATATAATAAAGAATTATGCTGTAATCTCAGGAGACCAAGTCAAATGGATCAAAAGTTCCAAGACCAGCCTGAACTACATATCAAGGTCCCCTGTCAAAAATCCAGTGGCTAGCTGGGAAGGTGGCTTAGTGGTAAAGTGCTTCTCTAGCATACATGGAGTCCTAGGTTCAGATCCCCAGTACCATATACACAGAAAAATCAGAAGTGGTGCTGAGGCTTAAAGTGGTAGAGTGCTAGCCTTGAGCAAAAGAGCTCAGAGATAGTGCCCAGGCCCTGGACTGGGAAAAAAAAAATGTATACACACAGAGGGAAATCTGTTGAAAAAGAAAGAACGGTGCTTCACCACATGTACTTCCTGGAGTTTCCATTTTGAAATGGATCTCACATTATTATACGTCCTAAAGCATGATCCTTAAAGCTACCTCCTTAGCTTCTACTTCACAATTACTCCCAGCTAAAGGCAACTGTGGCAACTACCATTCTCACATGTCACTCCTTGAGATGTTTCCCCTGACGAGCTGAAATTCAACACTGTTCCTCTGCGGCCTCCTTCCTGCTAAGCTTCCACTATCAGCAGCTACTTCTATGTCAAGCTGGTGTGAGCTCCATCATATCACTACCATAGATAGATAAGTACTTTCACAACTCTGCTGTGGAAAAAGCCCTGGCGTACAGAACACACACTGAACAAAAAATATGATTTAATAGTGCCTGTCTCACATCCAGTTGACTTTCTAACTGCTTTTGAGAAAGGCTCCTTCTACACGTTTTGTTGCAGCTACCCGTATCATTCTGGAAAATTCCAAGACACAGCACACATTCAGAGGAACACCTAAGGAGCAGGCTGAAATAACAATGGGGTAGTGGTGCATAATTTGGACATCTACTTTTGAGGAATCCCACTCACACTGCACACTGTCCAACTTCAAACAGCTGCCACGGTAAAAGACATAGCCTGTTCTCCTTCTACGCAGCTCAAGTGGACGCTCTAAAACAGGAACGGCAGCTCTCCACAAGTCCTCATCTGCCTGGTGCCCTGTGCAAATTCCTGCAGTCAGCTGTGTCTTCGGTTACATTCAGCTAAACTGTGCAGCTCACTCATAATTCTGTTAAATGTGACACAAATTATAACCCTGTCCTTTAAATGTTTGAAAAGGTGCTTTTTTGTCCGACAATGACACTAACTTTTGTAACTATCCTACAAAATATATATCTAAAGATTAGTACTGACTGGGAATGGACATCTCGATATTGCTAGCTATGTACTCCGCCGCCCGGCCCCCCCCCCCCCGCCCCCGTTTTTCTGTGTCAGCCTTCATGTTGCTACTTGACTTTTTTCACTCAAGGGTAAGGGTCTACCACTTGATCCACACGTCTTCTTATGGCCTTTTGCTGGTTAATTTGAGATAAGAGTCTCATTAGCCTTTCTGTGCAGGCTTGCTTTGAACTGTGACCCTCGCATCTCAGTCTTTTGGGCAGCTAGGATTACAAGTGTGAGTCACCATTGTTTATTGTCCTCTTTTCTCCATTTTATTTCATTTTTTCTTGGACTGCAGATTGAACCCAGGGCCTCACACATGCTATGTAACCACTCTACCACTTAAGCCTTACTTCCCCTCCCCTCCCCTTGAGTTTTTCATTTCTGAGACAAGCGCTTGCTAACTTTTCCTAGGCTGACATTAAAGTCATAGCCCCCCTGGCCTCTGCTTCTTACGCAGCTGGGGTTATAGCTGTGTGTCAACATGGCTGCTTCCTCACTTCCTCCTTTGATGGGTGGAGCTTCCATTTTCATATGTAAACTTTGGATAGAATAACTAGGTTTAAGAATTTTAAAAGACTAATATAGCATCCAAGATATATCAAACTTAGCAGGACTAATGCAATTTCAACTGTTACACATTAGTGACAGCTTGAACAATGTAAGAAGCAAATGGAATGAGGGTGTGCACTCGTAATCTCAGCACTTGAGAGGCATAAGTAGGATTGTGAGTTTCAGGCCAGCCTGGGCCACAAAGCAAGAACCCGTCTCGAAAAAAAAAAAGAATAAAGGAATGATACTTGCCTATTTAAAACATGAATTATACACTCACTAACCATATGTGACTTAAACGTGTCATGTGGCGCTCATTTGTGTCACCGATACACTCATCACAGGCGCAGGCTCACATGCAGAGGGACACACGCTCACCCGTCATGGTCAGGGGCTCCTGGTGCTGCCGCTGCTGCCAGTTCGCACTCCTCCCTTCGTAAACCACGGTAATGTCATAGATGGCATCCAGGTAACTCTTCAGAGAGTCAAAAGCGACGTGAGTTGCCTTTATTCTTGGTGTCAGCACGTATTTTAATACTGGAAGGCCTAGGAAGAAGTCATTCGCTATGGTCATAAATTAGGAATCTATCAAGCTGGACATCTAGACAGAGCGTGGTCTCCTCAGTGGACAGACAGAAATGTGCTGCGGCTACCGCTGCACATTCAAAGGCTTCAGGCTTGCAGAACCCCACATGCCTTTGTCTATCAAGTAAACATTCACTTCACACACAAACTTAGTAAAAACCATGGGTAGGGTGGGCACCAGTGGCCCACGCCTATAATCCTAGCTACTTAGGAGGCTGACTTTTGAGGAGCAAGGGTCAAAGTCAGCTCAAGCAGGAAAGTCCACGGGACTCTTAACTACCAAAAATCTGGAAGTAAAGCTATGGGTTAAATGCTAGCCTTGAGCAAAAAAAGCTCAGGGACAATGCCCAAGCAGAGTTAAAAAAAAAACAACACCACACATACATACACAAAAACAAAAAACAAAAACCACCCAGGGGTACAAGGTGACAAGCCAGAAGCCCGTTCCATGGGAGGCTTTGACCTACTGCAGACTCTTCACCTCTCTACCCTCAGAGGATACAACTATGCCCAGGATCACTCCCAATGCTTAGGACAAAGCACTAGCTTACTAAGCTGCTCATTGGACCACACAGGGAGGATACACACTCACTCTCTCAAAAGGCACCCTGAGAACAAAGCAAAAGCACTGCTTCCAGTGGGCTTCCAATTTGGTCAAACTGTATCAAACTGTTCAGCTTATCAGCCATTCAGCTACGCAATTCTTCAAAATATGGGTTGAGGACATTATTACAAGCTTCTAAGGACTGCAGACAACTCTGAGAGATTCTCCAATAGGAGCTTTACATACTCCTGAGTCTACTCTTATTTAGATTTCCGTCTGTCTAAGATGAAAGGAGATAAAATACTGAAGCTTGTCAATATAACATCATTTGCAACCAGACAGCTAATAAAAGCCAGAGCCTCAAGTGCAGCCCGGGTGTGTAAGCCTACAGAATACACACTCTTTTCCCTCACACATAATCCACACTGCAGGAAAGGTCAAAAGTCCTTGTGCTGGTGGCTTATACCAGTAATTCTAGCTACACTGAAGACTGAGATCTGAGGACTGTGGTTCCAGGCCAGCCCAGGCATTAAAGTCAGTAAGACTCCATCTCCATAATAACCAGCAAAAATAGTAGGGCTGGTAACATGGCTAAGTGGGTAGAGTAAGTATATGGTCTTGAGTTCAAACCACACTACCACCAAGACAAGGAGGAAAGGAAGGGAGGAAGAGAGGGAGGGAAGAAGAGTGGGAACAAAGAGAAATTACACTCATATTCATGTACTCAGTTTTAAGTAAATCTATAGCCTGAAAATACATATTGCAGCAAGCCCTAGAATTTACTCTGAGACATATGTAATAACATACAAGTGTATTCAGAAGACATTTCCTTTCTAAGAGATGATATATTCATTCATTTTTGTTCCAAAACATAAATATCTTCTCCAAGATCATTATCTTGAAAAGTTATTTTCTCATTCTAGTCAATTTTCTACTTACCATGTTCAGCAGAAAATGCCTGACTAGCAGATAGGAGTTTTGTTTGTCCTGGGCTGAATCTTGTTCCCTCTGGAAAAATCACAAGGTACATCTGTGGGACACAGAGGAAATTCAGGGTGTGTGTGTGTGTGTGTGTGTGTGTGTGTGTAAGACCCTTGTTGTTGCTGTTGACTTTAACAACGAAAACTTCATTAATGCTATTTCCTATGGTAGATGAAACACATATTCATTTATATGTCCTTTATTTCAAGCAGAGGTACCAAAATGCAAAAACTTAATTATGTCTGAACATAACACAACATTTAAAATGCAGGCTTACATTTAAAGTAGGTCTGAAATAATTTCTAAAATGCAAATAATCACTAAAAATCTGCAAAGAAATGCTTAGTTTTAATTGGTGAGGCAACTGCTCCCTTCTAAAGGACCCCATGGCGTGACATTTCATGAACATGCACAGCTGTTCACATTAGTGGGCACATTAGCATATTTCCTGCATGTAAACACTGGGCTCTTCTTCCATCCCAGCCCAATCCTCCAAAGTGACTTTGTAAGAAGTTACAAATCTCAATACTCATATCCACTAGGCTGCCCACCATCTGAAAAGAAACAGGAATAAACAATACAAGAAAATGCATCCACTTCCATACTTGTGGCATAAATTTTTCTAGCTAAAATTCTAACTAGATAATATATATAAATGAAGTAATCACTTTATCACAAATGTTTTTATTACATCCACAACTGATAAATGACTTTTTTTTTTTTGGTCAATAGTGGGGCCTGAACTCTGGGCCTGGGTGCTGTCTCTCAGTTCTTCAACTAGTGCTCTACAACTTGAGCCACAGCACCACTTCCAGCTTTTTCTGCTTATGTGGTGCTGGGAATCGAACGCAGGGCCTCGTGCATGCAAGGCAAACACTCTTAACAACTGAGCCATCTTCCCAGTCCCGTGATAAATGACTTATGAAAATACTCTTACAATATGGAGAAGCACTTTTTAAAATTTGTAATAGAGATGCACATTTTAATACAATCCCTCAAATAATACTTGTATTAAGCAAGAACTGCTGTAGTTAATGAAACACATTATTACTAAGATCTTCTAAGCCACACAAAATTGCTGTGATATATATAGATACAGATATACATATATGTATTGATATATATATTCATCCCACTATCCCAGTGATTTAATTACTTTTGAGAAACCAGAGTACAGTGAAGAATCTAAGGAAAGAATCTAAGGAGCATATTTTATGGGATTAAATACTAAAAAATAAAACTGCCTGCCAACACACGGTGACTCAGCTCTCAGCAGGCTTCACGAGCATTGGTATGGTCATCAATACTGCACAGGATAAAAGCTAGACTGTGACCTTGAGACACACTATAGTAACCCACAGCAGAAGACTAGATTGCTTGTTTTCACTTTTCCATACAAACTATTTTAAAAGTTACCTATACTATCATCTGAAAGTATCAAAGAGCTAAGATGCTAAGACCAAAATTGAGCAAACAGTAAACCTGAAGTGAGCACAGCAGAAAAGTTCTGTCTCAGAAGACAAAAGGTGAGAAGAGTAGCACATCATGTCCATGGCCTTCTACTGGAAATGTGAGGAACATGAAGAGTGAGCTGGTAAGGGCCACACCACACCCCACCTGCCCGACCTGCAGCTGCCAGAAGTCAGGTGAGTCTTCAGTAAGTCTGCAGGCCCAGCTGTACTGCCTGAGTGGTCCACGTCACCTCACGCTCAGAATCTGATTTCACTGGGGCTTAGACTAGACGAGTTTCAAGGGCCCTGGCGAACACAGGCACAGATGTTTTCACAGCCACCAACGCTTGCTCAGCTTCATTTGCTCACTGCTAGCATGCTACCACTTTGAGCCATGCCTCCAGTTACGGACTTCTGCTGGTCAGTCGGGCATCACTGACCCCTCCCAGGGCACGCAAACTGCAAGCGAGGGGAAAGCCTGGCGTCCCTGTCACTGCAGGCATTTGTGTCTCTGCCTTCCTCGTGATGGAATTAGGGAAGGACTGGGCAGGGTATATGGGTCACATGACCCTACACTGCATGCTCAAGAGGCCAAAACTCACCTGAAGCTCAGGCTTAAAGACTTGAACCACTTTAGATGGCACCAATGGCTCACTCCTGTAATCCTAGCTACTTGGGAGGCTGAGGTCTCAGGATCATGGTTTAAATACTAAAAACCAAAACTGCCTGCCAAATCCTAAGAAAGCAGACGTTGGACCAACACACGGTGAGTCTAACATAGCCAGCCCTTAGCAGGCTTCACGGGCACTGGTACGGTCAACGGTCAGCAACAGTGCACAGGATAAAAGCCTACGGGGGAAAATTGTGAGGCTCACATCTCCAATAAACTACTCAAAAACTCTCAAAGTAGAGCTGTGGCTCAAGTGGTAGAGCACGACCCTGAGTTTCAGCCTCAAATCTCAAGTGCTCCAAAAATCTAAAACTTGATTTTCAACATCACCATGACACTTGCAATGTTCTCGATTTCAGAATATTTCTGGAGTTGATGAGGGAAGCTTAACTGGTAAAGTCTGTACAAATACTACAAAAATCTGAAAACTTCAGAAACCCAAAACATTTCTGCTCCTAAAGTGTTTTGGATCATGGATACTCGAGAGCCGGTAAGAGGCAAGAACTTCCCAAAGCTAACTGCACCAAACCAGATAGACAGCATGGGGGGGAGGGGGGATCAACCAGGATTTCTATTAAAAACAACAACAACAAGAAACAAAGTTAAAAGATGTTTTGGCTCAAGTCACAGACAAGGAGACACTAATGGAGGTAGCGCGAGCATAGAGAAAGCCATGGACATCATATCTGCAAACCCATGCCTTTAAATTCAACTTTACAAAGAAGTGTGCTGTATCATACAGTGCCGAAGATCTACGGACATGAGCCCTAACCCTATGTGAATCCTCTGGGCTGTCTCAACCCATTGCCGAGTACCATGCTTTTTATACAGGGCGCACCATCACAGGACAAAGGACAATTCACTATTCATTTCCCAACACTCTGTTCCCATCTTCCCCATCTTTCCTAGATGATGTGATTTCCACCTGCGAAAACATCTAGACAGTGTTCAGAACAAATAATGATCACATTGGGTACTTGGCCAGCCAAGTGTGGAGTACTCTGAATATGAGCTCTCACTGAACCCTGGCCAGGGAAGGGAAAAGGACGAGGGAGGCAAGAAGGGACAAGGAGAAAAAGAACTTGTGTGCATGAGCTAAGTCTGGACCCTTGCAATGTGTGGAGAGAGAGACCAGAGATTACCACAATCAAGTTGTTCTGTCCAGAAGGAAGTCATGGGAAAAGTCATTTGGCAACAGTTAGCATTCTTCACATACAAGATTTTTTTTTTTTCTTTTCAGGACAAACTTTTGCAAAACAATATTCACATTGGAAGATACTTTACTTGTAGATATGAATCATTTTTCTTGCTTTCCAAACTCAATGTATGTTAAGTTTGCCCCAACAGAAGATAGTAGCTTCTCCTAGAACTCTATTCACATATAGAACCAGGAGTGAGTGTTCTCAGGATTAAACATAGGGTTACCAGTGCAACTAACATGTCTGTTCAGACTTTTCAGGTCCTCACTGGCAGCCACCAGAAAAGGCCCTAGCACGTATATCAATCTTTCTGATGGCCAAAGAATGGCGAGAACTTTGTTCCCTCAACAAACTCTGAACTATTTACTACACACAGAGTACTATGTTCTTATTTTAATTCTTCAACTGAAAACCGAGAGTAGCTAAGGAAGTAATACAAAGAGCACTCTTACTGGGGTTCCTGCTTTCACGTAGCTCTGTAGCTTGTTTCTCATCTCTTTTTCATTAAACTTGGCACTTCGCTTTACGTAGATCCCACCATGCTGGCCAGCAAGAAAAATGGGGAGAAATATTTACTTTTAAACTAATCAACTGTCATAGGCATGAAAAATCAACTTTATTCCCAAAACAAGTACTGAGTGAAATATCTCAAAATTTAAGCTACTTGAATATATCCTAATTAACTAGTAGTTATGAACTAGTAGTTGAAAATTCCATTTCAATGTAATTCAAACAGAACTTGTAGACACTGTATTGGAAAACAGCTATTGAGTTTTGCCAATAGTTAAAAATTCTTTCTTTCTTAAAAAAAAAACCTTTTAAACTAAACACTTCATTAATCAGATGTATCTTTTTTTTTTTTTGGTTGGTCGTGGGGCTTGAACTCTGGGCCTGGGCTCTGTCTTTCAGCTCTTCAGCTCAAGGCGAGCGCTCTACCACTTGAGCTACAGCGCCACTTCCGGTTTTCTGGTGGTTTATTGGAGATAGGAGTCTCACGGTCTCTCCTGCCCGGGCTGGCTTTGAACCGCGATCCTCAGATCTCAGCCTCCTAAGTAGCTAGGATTACAGGCGTGAGCCACCAGCGCCCGGCTAATCAGATGTATCTTAAGTTTAGATTTTTCTGCTGACTTACTAAAGAATCACTAAAGATGCCAGCACAATCTTTAGGATTTAAAATATCAACCTAGCACTGTTATGAAATACATTTTCCTTGCATACATTAATTGCACAGAATAGGGATCTCATTGACACTTTCATACACACACACATACACACACACATATAATACTAAGTATTTTGCACATATAGCTCACTATTTGGTTTTATCTCTCCAGATCACTAATTAACAAATTCTATGCCCTTTATGTTCCTATCTGACCTTTATAGAGCTACATTTTTGCTATTTCATCTAACTATACAGATAATTACTTATATAAATATACATCATCAAGAATATCAAATAAAGATAGTTCAATTCAGAATATGACATATTTTTAAAAGCATTCGGGCTGGGGATGTAGTTCAGTGGTAAAGCGGTTAGCATGTAAGACCCTAGGTTCCATCCTCAGTAAAATTTACATTAAATGTAAGTTAAAATTTAACATACATTAAAAAACGAATATATACATATAAACGTATGTAAGGAAAAAGAGTTACCCTAGAAAAGTAGCACCCGTACAATGGCAGCCATTTTAGCCCGTCTTTCAGCACGTAGCGCACATGTCCAAGAGCATTCTGCCTGACGGCCAAAATATCCGCTACAATCCAGTCCACTGCAAGACAGCACCAGTGAGCCCGGCACCCCTCACCCTCCACAGGCACATGTCTGCTTGGTGTACTACTTACTTTAACATCAGACAGTTACACTCAACTTGTGATTTTTGTTTGTTCCCTCCACCTCTCTTCACCAAAAGATTTTCTGGGGGGAGTGGTAGGTGGGATTTAAACTCAGAGCCTTGTACTTGTGAGGCAGGTGCTTCACCATTTGAGCAATACTCCCACCCCTTTTCGCATTAGGTCAATTTTCAGATAGAATCACACAATTTTTGACCCAAATGGCCTGTGATTCTACTTATACCTTCTGTGTAATTGGGATTGCAGAGGTGAGCCATAGCATTTGGAATGTTTACTGCGTGTCAGGCAAACTTTTTTTTCCCCCAGGCTGGCCCTGAATTGTGATTCTTTGAGTCACAACTCCTGAATAGCTACAATTCTAGGCATCAGCCACCAGATGTGGTGTTTGAAATGCTTTTTATTGCAAGAGCAAAACATGAAAGTCACAAAATACCAAACTAATTAAAAGCAGTTCTTACAAAGAATAAAATGACCTTCTGTAATTAGGGCTAGAAAACAATTTTTTTTAACGTGGAAAATGGAAATTATAAGCAAAAATAGCCATTCAAGTTATTGAGTATGAGTAAATATTCTGTATATGTACTGATCTTTACTAATATTTTGGACACAGTATTAGGTCCCACGTACCTTACAACTGTGCCAGGTAGGTCTGGGTTCCTTACATAATCAAGGGACGTAGTCTCAAGTTCCTAGAAACTATAACTAAAACTGAAAGGTTGCATATACAATAATTAAGGCAAGGTAACAGTTAACAATACAACCTTTCCTCTTCCTAGAAGTTAATTGTGTTTTCAAATGTTTCAGAACAGAACAGAAGGAATAAAACAATGAAGTTTTTTTTGTGGTTGTTTTACTGGACCTGGGGCTTGTACTCAGGGCACTGTCCTTGAGCTCTTTTTGCTCGAGGCCAATGATCTATCACTCTGAGCCACAGCGCCACTTCAGCTTTTCTGGTGGTTTATTGGAGGTAAGAGTCTCATGGACTTTCTTGCCAGGGCTGGATTTGAACCTTGATCTTCAGATCTCAGCCTCTTGTATAGCTAGGACTACAGGCATGAGCCACCAGTACTGGGCTTAAAGTTTGTTTTTTGAAGGGAAGAGGGATTGTTTGCCATTGATTGTAGGATGATTACTCTCCTGTATTTATACAGTACATGTACTCAGATAGACTTCTGCAAAGATTTAAAATTTAAACACTGAAAATGAACCTTAAGCCTTGGGTACACCTTCCAAGAAGTTTTAAGAAAGTAGGCTAGAGAAAAGTGGCACTGTGGCTCAGGTGGTAGAGCGCTAGCCTTGAGTTGAAGAGCTGAGGGACAGCACCCAGGCTCAGAGTTCAAGCCCCATGACTGAACAAAAAAAAAGAAAATCGGCTAGAGGCAGGAGAATTGTGAGTTCTAGGTCAGTATGGGCTACATAGGCAGGCCTCAATCATTCAATCAATCAAGGGTACACATGCTTCAATACACCAATTCTATTTATAAAAAGAAGAATACATTAAGAGCTATTCAAAGATATGGAGAAAAACTGTAAGAAAATAGTTTATTTATATCAATCAGAGAGGGGAAAAAGTCTAGGAAAATTAATAACTTGCACATTACTGGCCTGCCAAAATGTAAGAACACAAAAATAACGATGACACAAGTATAAAATCTATATAGAAAACTTTAAAAAACAAAAAAAAACTTCACTTAATTAGAAAACTCCTTTGAATGACTATGTACCACTTGTTAAAAATAATGCCCTAATTTCATGCAAATGAAATACAAACCTGTGCTTTGATGATTTGATAAATATATTACATTTTCTTTATTTTTTGGCAAATCTCCATATAGCAATATCTAAAAGAGAAAAAGAAACATTACTTTGATATTAAAATATCATACAAAAAGGACAATGTGAAAACTGACACATGATTTTATAACCTCTCTAGTCACAATTAACAATAATTAGATTTCCCTTAGAAGCCTCATAGTCAAGTATAAGGCAGGTTAATGGCCATAAAGCCAGAGAGCATGATGGATATCCTCGTGAGAAAAAAAAATCTATAAGCATTTATTGATTGCTAACAACATATAAAATTTTACAAATCTTCCTTCAAATAGCCTACAATATAGTAGAAGAGAGAGACATAATCCCATTCGCTACGATGCAACATGACACAAAGGTGAAAACATTGATTTCAGAGGATGAGGGGAAGGAAAAATGTCATAAACACCAGACCAGCTGGACAGTCAGAGACTTATGCAGGAACAGTGCACAGCCCACAGCCAGGCAGGGCCGAAAGGCCCTGAGGAATAGCGGCAAGGAGACCAGGAGGGCTCTGGTCAGGACACCCAAGTCTCTGGAGTACCAGCAAAAGATAAAATTTTATTTTTAAGGAGGGAACTTGGCTCTCTGATTAGTACTGTGAAGCTCCAGCAAGGACTGGGTGCTCAGGAGAATCCACGAAGAGGCTGGCCTGCTGGTCTACCAATAATGTTTATGCTTGTTTATGCAGGTACTAGGGCTTGAACTCAGGGACAGCATGGACGCTGCTGTCCCTTAGCTTTTTGCTCAAGGCTGGCATTCTACCACTTGAGCCCCCAGCTTTTGGCTTAATTGGAGGTAAGAGTCTCATGGGCCTTTCTGCCCAGGCTGGTTTTGAACCATGATCCTCAGACCCCAGCCTCTTGGATCCTCTAGGATTGCAGGTGTGAGTACACGAAGTGAGCATTTGGTATACCAGTCATATTTTTTTTAATTATTATTAGCTCCTTGTATACACAAGTTGCGATTCCATGCATCAAGTTATGAGCACAATGGTTCTTGACCAATGCCACCCTGGTGGTTGTTGCTCTCCATTTTCCCTGTCCCATCCCTACCCTCAAGTTACTTGGTTCAGTTTTTGCAGAGTATACTCTATCATGATTGCATTGCATTTGCTCCTCCTCCCTCACTAAGTTCCCCTGTAAAACATGTTTTCCCTTCCTCATGCTCATTTTGATAAACAGTTCATTTAGTTGTTCAGAGTTGTTATACCTTTGGACCACATTTTATTCCTTAAGCTGAGTGGTGAGGACATGGTTTCACTGTTAGTCTTCTGCAGTTTTATATTTCCTAAATTTTCTGCATATAGGATTTAGGGAAATGGAGTGTACACTCTGAAAGGCAGCAGTGTTTTGTTTCCTTGTGGAGGTCATTCATTTCTCTCTATCTTGTCACTGTGGATTATGCAGGATTATGAATTACCTAAGGCTTTCTAGATTTAGTCTACAGGATTTTCTTTTGGTCATGACACTACTCATTAACCCAACATCTTTGTAAAAATATACTAGATGATGTGAGTTATAGAGGCCACGGTCTCAGATTACGTCTGCATCTTCCTTAGAAAAAGCATACAATGTGTTTAAATCTGTGCCTTATTATCTGAAATAAAATTTATCAATAAAGTACACAGATCACCAATAGTTTGATTGATAGGAGTGTTAAAACTGGGATACCAGCTTGTAAGCAGTCGCCCTTCTTTAAGCAATGAGGCAGAAGTATTTCAAGACCACTGGGAAAAAGATGAAAATTGTGTGTGGGTGTGAGCGTGTAAGAGTTGTGTGACAGAGAGCATGTGTTTGTGTGTGTGAGAGAGCGAACCCACTACACTTACAGTTCTCGTTTTTTGCGTCTCTCAGATTTGTCTGCCCGTGCTATCTCCAAACTGACCTTAGCCTTCCAAGTAGCCAGGGTTATAAATAGGTATGAGCCACTGTCCCCTGGACAGGCTGAATGTAAGAGTATGGCAGATTTATTGCCAAGAGTGTTTCAGGTTTCACTTTCTTGGAAATATTCATGGCTCTCTGGGGACTGTCTAGCCCCCAAGCTGAAGCCAACACCTGAACCTTCCAGACTCTTCTTTCCTACAGAGAGCTTGCTTAAGAGATCACTAGGCCATAGACTATAAGGGGCACTGCAAGTAAGTCACTAACAGACAGTTTTCATGCACTGATATTAGAAGGGTGCCTGAAGACTCACTGGTCCTGCCTTGGTGGGCTGAGGTATTTGAAAACCAAGTCTGCTATTCAAAGACCCCCATGATCTCAAAGCTGATATTAGGGTGATACCCTTTCCAAGTTGTTTCATCCACTACTTACTCTACCTACTGGAACTCAAAAAGAACAAGCTAAAATATAGAGCAGCTTTTTCTACTTAAAACTTTAAAAAAAAAACAAAAAAAAAACCAATCTTTCAGACTTAGAAACTTAAAAAGATGTGAGAGAAAAGTAAAATGATTAACGGTACATCTTAATGTAATATATGTGAATCATCCTGGTAATGGCTTAAATTGATGTTCACTTAGTTTTTAGAGCCTCATCTGAAGGCTGGGAGCTGGTGGCTCACGCCTGTAATCTTTGCTTCTTAGGCAGCTGAGATCTGAGGATCATGGTCCAAAGCCAGGCTGGGTAGAAAAGTCTGTGAGACTCATCTCGAATTAAACACCAAAAAGCCAGAAGTGGAGTAAAGCTCTAACAATGAGCACAAAAGCTAAAAAGCGGCAGCATCCAGGCTCTGAGTTTAAGCCCCAGGACTAGCAGTTTACACTGTTCAGTCACTTGAAATGAGCTTAAAATGTAATTGTTACGCAGTGAAACATAGTGACACACCACATAATGAATGACATTCAGTTAACCACAGCCTGTAAGCTACAGATAACAGAGCTCACCGATAACAGAGACTGAAAACCAACTAGCACATAGTAATGATAGCTACCCTAGGTCTTGTCCACGTATTATGTATGTGCCTGCGGACTGCTAATGTCACCAAGCCTACTACCCCCTAGTCACACAGAAGTATGGTACATACAATTACAGACAGCACATGGCATTCAGGAATACTGGCTGACTTCTGTATGTGGTGCACCACACCTGCATGGTTATTTTAGTGTACTCTATCTATATATGGCACCGTGAGGCCACACAGACTGATGAGTCAAAGTCCTCTGGTCTGCATGAGTACACTATGATATTCATACAATAAAATCACCTAGAAGTGTTTCTCAAAGCATGTCACTGTCATTAAGCAACAGGGAAGTGTACATTATCAATTAACCGGTAAAAGATTTCTTCTGTAAGCATACAAATCCTATAGGTGATTTTTTGGGGTCTAATTTGAAATATTTCATTGATCAGTAAAATTATGATACTCTTCTCAAATAAGATCAAATTAGCAAAATTATTTAGCTTACAAACAGAATGTAAAACAAGTATCAGAAAATTCAAATAGAAATTTATAGATCATAAAATTTTAGGTTCTCAGCATATGTATCTCTTGGTACTATCCTTAGAGGATGTTTTTTTATTTTTGTTTTTTGCGCCAGGATGCTGTCTCTTAGCTTATTTGCTCAAGGCTAGCATTACTTGAACCAGAGCTCCATATCCGGCTTTTTGGAAGCAGTAAATTGAAGATAACAGTCTCATGAACTTCTCTGCCTGGACTGGCTATGAACCGTGATCCTCTGATCTCAGTCTCTTGAGTACCTAGAATTACAGGTGTGAGCCACCCACAAACAGCTGGTTTTTTTGTTTTTGTTGTTGTTGTTGTTTTCCCCTCAGCATCTACGATGTCCAAATCACTGAGGGAGACAATTTGGAGACCAGTGTGACAAAAATATTCCATCCATTTAGTGATGAGAATACTGAGGTTGAGAAGCTGACTTGACTAACCTGACACACAGTGCACCAAAGAAATGGAAATCAGACTCAGGTTCTAACCTGAGTTAGACTGCAAAAACTCCAAAGAGAAAATGTTAAAGTTAGAAGGGGTTCCATGAATTTAAAGCTTATGCAGTTTTCAACTTGAATAGTAAGTACCCACAAGAAACATAAAAAGTTGCCTATAGCAATGCACACTAAAACCAGAGCTAGAGTTCAGGAGAATCATTTTATTATAAGCATAACTCCCACTGGGTTTAAACAACACCCCCCACCCCCACCCCGGGACTCAGTGGTACCCTTCCTTTACTTCTAAAGTTCTTGGCTCTTTTCATGTTAGCCTTTATCTCATTACACATTCATGGTTTTTTCCTTTACCTGACACCTTTCTGTTTGTGCCTTGCTAGTGAACTTAAGGGCAGAGATTATTTTATTAGTCTAAAACACTAGCCCCTGTCTGATTAGCACTTAAAGAGCAGCTAAAACTTAATACACCTCTCCTTTCTAAGAATCATCGCCCTCATTTCTTCATGCTCCTGGAATTCTCACCCAAGGTAGGCAATAAGCCAAGTTGACTTGCAGCTAGTGCTCACTTATTTATATGCACCAAGTCTTCTAAAATACCCACGTTAACACTTTTATTCTGGGTTTAAGTGCCAGTTCCTACAGAGAAGTAAAAGAAATGAAACCAAGCTTGGAGACATGCATGGGTTCAAACTTTGCAGAAATTACTGGCTTTTACTGACAAGTAACCAAAAGCTTGCTTCCTGACTGGTACAGACTCCCTTCTCTAACAGCCTCTGACCTCACCCATTCTTGCCTTACTCCTAAGAGTAGAATTCATGTTTCAAAAGACTCACTAGACGTGTAAACCTTGTGACATAGAACGTTTAGCAAATACCAGGACCATTTAAGAATTCCCCCAGAGATTCATCTAAGCATTCAGAGAAACTCAAGAGTTGTACTCTCTGTAGAGTGCTTGCCCTCACTGTTAAAGGGGAAAGTCCTCATTTTCTCTTCTGTCACCAACAAGAGGTCAGTCCTACAGAGGGGACAAGATATACATTAAATTAGTTACATAAAAGTAATGGTGATGATGAGCTCCTAAGGAATAGGTGTTTGTGATGGAAATGTGGTAGACCCTTAACAGTAGTGCTTAT